AAAACCCCCTTAAAAAACAGGAAAAAAAAAAAACAACATAAAAAAAGAAATGCTCTCAGGGATCCCTCTGCACATCTGTGCAAGCTCAGGGGGTAGGTCCCAAGCCTCACAGCACTGCCCAGCCAGAACGGGCTCCCAATTCGAGAAAAGAAAAAGAAAATGAAAACAAACAATTGATAACAAAACAAAACAAAAAGCCCTCGGATCCCACCAGCGTTGGCAGCACAGACCGGGAAGCTCCACAGCCCCTCAGGAAGAAGCAAAGATGGCACACGGAGCCAGGTATTTGAGCGAAAGGAGGGGGAGGTTGTGAGAGGTAAGAAAGAAATCAAAAGCATGGAAAAAAGCAACACCAGCAGCCAATAAATGGCACTCAGGGAGTTGGCCAGTGCAGGCAGGTGGAATCCAAGCAGCTGGTGCTTCCTGGCCAAGAGACTGGCCGTGGGAAACAGAGGAGGCCAAGTGGGGGTGAAGAAGGGTGGGGCATGGGAAAGTGTATATCGCTGTTTACCAGTTGTTCTGTCTCCTGCTGGAAGCTCCATGAAGCTGCTTTCTCGTATCCCCTATTTGCTGGTCTCTGATAGGAGTCCAGGATGGCAGATCCTTGCTGCATTAGCTGACAGGGGACCTCTCCATGTATGTCTCCACACTCTCTGTTCTCTGTAGTTTCTTATTCCATTTGGGGCTTGGCTGAGTTCTTTATCTCTTCATTTGATGTTTAGGATTTCAGGGTTGCTGTTTTCTCTGTTTGGCTTAGTTTTATGTATCTTTGCTGTGGAGGGATGGTGTGGTGCTTCTGCCTAGAGTCTACTTCCGTCTTTTTATGTATTTTTATATATATGGGTAAGGAGCCCAGGTGGCACAGTGGTTAAAGTGCTTGTCTGCTAACCAAAAGGTCAGCCATTCAAACCCACCGGCCCGCTCCTCAGGAGATAGATGCGGCAGTCTGCTTCCATAAAGATTACTGCCTTTGAAACCCTGTGGGGCAGTTCTACTCTGTTCTATAGGGTTGCTATGAGTAGGAATTGACTCGACAGTGGTGGAGTTTTTGGTTTGGATATATATGGGTGTGAATTATAATTTATCTACTGCTTGTAGGCTTTAAAAATATATTTAGGTAGTGTTGGACAGAACTTTTTTTTGTTTTAACTGAATTAGTACCCTGGTGGCACAGTGGTTAAGAGATTGGCTACTCACCCAAAGGTTGGCAGTTCAAATCCACCAGCCGCTCCTTGGAAACCCTATGGGACACTTCTGCTCTGTCTTATAGGGTCTCTATGAGTCTTAATCAACTCGACGGCAACAGGTTTTTTTTGTTTTGTTTTGTTTTAACTGAATTAATCTTATGAAATGCCTGTTGACATTTAATACAAAAATTCTTTTACTCAATTTCTTTTTTTCTCTTTTGTCCTATGGATTATATTTATTTACTAAAGATGTTAAGCACATTGATAAGGAATGGAAAGTCGCAAGATAGAATATGCAGTTTATCTGAGTGTTGCGCAGAAACCATTGAAATTTGCCTAAATCTTTAAGAACTCAAGTGGAAATTATACTTACAAATTTGAAGGTCAGAATCACAAACTATAGTCTGAATTGGAATGAACTGGAAAATTGTTTCA